TAGGGCCTATATTTTCAAATTGAGACCCCAAATTTCACAATAATCCGATTTCATAATCAGCCGCGACAATTATTATACAAAATTTTATAATTTGATTAGTTAAATTATATATAATATTTTTATATTATTTAACTTTTTATAAATAAATATCCTGTCTAAATAAATACAAAATTAGTTCACCAACCTTATGCATTTAAACAGGTTTTTTAAAAAAAAATTATATGTAAATTCTCAAAATAATGGGCATTTGCGCACTATTTTTGAATACATGCGCGCTATTTCGAGTACATCCCATGGGCGCTATTTCGTATATATAGGCTGATTTTCTGAATAGTGATGTTGCTGTATGTTTCCAAAAATAAGTTACCCTTTTTTGCAAAAAAAGCTATACAAAAATTTTACGGGTAGCTTATTTTCGAAGCATTAATTTTTTAGAAAATTTAAATATATGTATCTTTATGTTCTGAACAACTTTATTTAGAAATTCAAAATCAATTTACTTAGTAAAATTTTGACTTTTATATGTAGTGACTGCGAAACTAGGGTAGCTACGGTAAGTAGTCCAAAGGACCAGACATTTTAGGGCCGGTCTGAAACTAGTCCAAATAAAAGTAAATCATAACATACTTTTCAAAATTATCTACATTACATTAAATTGCTGGGTTTAGACTCAGGTTTTTTAAGAACCGGACCTGGATCGAAGCGGATGGACTTTTTAACATCTCTATTTTTGAACCTGGTTTTTTTTTCAAAATAATAATAGTAGGAATGCACGTTATTTCGGGACGCACATGGGCGTTATTTTGAATCCACATATGCTATTTTTAGCTATTTCGAGAATTTACGATAATAATAACAGGTTAAAATTAGGCTACGTATTATATAATAGTTTTTTTAAAAAATTTTAGTGTTGAGATTAAATGCTAATACAGAAAATAAATTAAATAGACCTCTCTAAATGCATAGTCTGTGAAAGACCTCTCTAAATGCATAGCCTTATTTAACCCAAACTCATATAACACATATAGCTTTTTACCTTCCTAAATGCAATACCTCTCTAAATGCAAGATTTTTTGGCTGCCCCTCGGCTATGCATTTAGAGAGGTTTGACTGTATTATTAAAATAACCTAAATTTAATTACTAATTTATAAATTGTTATGGTTTAAAATAAAAGCATTCTGGTGGTTATTTTTTTACAATTGTAGTATAAAGTTGTATAGAAAATTATAATATTTAAAACTAATAAAAAGATTAATAAACCAAAATGGTTATAACAAAAATATATTTAAATTATTTTTTTTTTATAAAAAAAAACCTTATATAACTTGTATATATATATATTAGATGCTTTACATTTCCTACTAGAATATAAGTATAGCAGATATTTAAACCATTAGAAAAGTGTTGTTATCATGTAATTAAATTAAAAAAAAAGGTTATATAGATAGTTAATATACAGTAAAATTATTTTAAGAATTTTACTTTTTTTAAGTATAAAGAATTTGATAATAATAGAGTATTATTTTTTTTTATAAAACAATTCATGTTTAAATTACAAAAAGAAGCAATAAGATAGTAAATTAGAATAATAATAATAATAATAATAATAATAATACACAAATTTATTAGAAAAAGGAGACATCTATAATATAAATCTACAGTATATTAATTTTAGAGTTTTATATATATTACATTAACAACATTACTATCACCATCGTGCAAACGCACCATTCAACCCATATTTTTGACATTGGAATATTTGCCTTACTTATTGGAGATTCAGCATTTCCACCAGGTTGATTAGCGCTAGTAAAACCACCACCTTCAAAGACAGAACTTTTTGTAAACGATGCAGTAACATTAACTCTTTGTGAACTAGAAGCAGGGTTTATTATATCCAAACAATAATTGTCATTATCTCGCACTGGTATATTCCCAGTATCTTGATCGCAGGAAATAGTAAATTGTAGATAACAAGATAATGAAGGAATGAATTTTTGTGCATTTGCATATCGAATTCGAGCAGCTATACCAACTTGAGGTGCAGTAGCAAGAGGGGATGAAGTGCCAGGTGTCGTTTTTCCGTATCCAGGGGTTATTGGAAAAATGCTGTCGACAACTTTTACACTGTAACCTATATGACATTATAAATTCTGAACGTTAGAGAATGCAATCCCCCCCAAAAAAACTTTGTATAGAAGTTTGAAAAAAAATTCATACTAATATATCTCGTAGATTCATTTGAACAAATAGTCCATGTTCCATTATTTGGAGGTACATCGACCGTATTATATGGAACAGTTACAGGTGGTGTGGTAAAATTCGAATCTGAAGAGGATATTGGATTTGACAAATTTGTAGGATTTGACGTACTTATCGGACTTGGCACACTTGTCGGACTTGTAGGAGTTAAAGATGTTGAAATTGGCGGTCTTAACGTACTTGTACTTGAAAATGTTGCAAAAGTTAATTGACCAAGAGTCGAAGAGATCTTTTAAGTAGATTCAAAAAGAACGAGATCGTGTAATTAATGATTTAAAGGGGAAAATTATTATGACATACACAAGCAAAGAATTAATCATTTCATAAAAAAAAAGAAAAGAAAATTTACCATTATTAACAACACTACACCAAAAATTAATAATCTTAAGATCATTATTAAAGATTATTCTTCGGTTGAATTATAGACTTTTATTAACTTTTATTAAGAAATAAGGTTACCGACCGCCCCCACACTTTCTAAACTTAACCAATATATAATTGATATAATTGATTAGTTAATGAAGACAAGGTTCGGAAGTCGAATATAATTAATAACGAATCCTTTGAATTCCGTAAAACAAGAAACGAAAAATAAGAAGTTTTTAAGGTTGACTGAAAAGGTACATAAACATGCACAGAACAAACCTTTCGTATATTGATTAGAAGGTTTAAATATATAAATTGACGTAGGCAGTGTTACATGATGTCTATACCAATTGATGCGTATGAAACCTTAATGATTTGATATACTATGTGCGTACGTACTTTTACCACATACTGGTTGGTACCCGAAAAGATAGATATGAACTTACATTAAGAAAAAAAAGGCATGTACGCACGTACGATTTCATTCTTTAGCTTCATAATATTAATATTATTAGGCAAATGATTATCAGGTTTACTATTGCGAAAGAGGCTTATACAGGTAAGTGAAAATTAAATTAATAAATTATAATTAATTAATGATTGCGAGTCTTTGCCAAATTTATCCTGATTTTAATGAATTAAGAATTTATAATTAGAAATTAGAAATACGAATATCTCACATGATTGTGAACGTATAAATTTGTTGATGAGAGATCTTTGCTTATTTATTATCTTTGTACGTACACACGTTCTTACATAAGTAGGTGGAAACGCAATGACTCGTCTACCGATAGTGATATATAGTATATACTATGAGATACTGAGATACGTATAACAGTATTTGAAACATTTCTTTCCTAATGCATATTGACTTGACCCTTTCGTTAACCCACTTTGATTAACTTATATCAGATATTTGATACATTGTTAAATTATAAGTTATGTATTTCATTCTTTATAAACCACAAAGTTAATAAAGTTTTTAGTGATAAATTATTATAAAGTTTATGGAGTGATAAATTATTATAAGGAATAAACTTTTTCATAAAATAAAAATCAACCCATTTTATTTTATTTTTGAATTTAAGTCTTGCCATTAAAAGTCTATTATAACATCGGATATACTTAACATAGAGCTTCAATCCTATTTTTGACAGGCAATCCGGATTCTAATAAATCTGGATTGAATTTGCATCAGATTACATATAAAGCTAGTTTTATAGCACATCCTTAGGGTCGTTATTTAAGTTCTTTGATATCTATCTGGATCTATCTGGATTTAAAGATCAATTCGGAGCTCTAACTTAACATATTTTACATATTTTAAATTCTATACGCCATACTTAATATTATCTGTTCTTTTTT